AAGGTGCTGGAAGCATTCCTCAGGGAGTTTGGTCCATATTGACATGATGGCATCACACAGTTGCCGCAGATTTGTCGGCTGCACATCCATGATGCGAATCTCCCGTTCCACCACATCCCAAAGATGCTCTATTGGATTGAGATCTGGTGACTGTGGAGGCCATTTGAGTACAGTGAACTCATTGTCATGTTCAAGAAACCAGTCTGAGATGATTCCAGCGTTATGACATGGCACATTATCCTGCTGAAAGTAGCCATCAGAAGTTGGGTACATTGTGGTCATAAAGGGATGGACATGGTCAGCAACAATACTCAGGTAGGCTGTGGCGTTGCAACGATGCTCAATTGGTACCAAGGGGCCCAAAGAGTGCCAAGAAAATATTCCCCACACCATGACACCACCACCACCAGCCTTAACCGTTGACACAAGGCAGGATGGATCCATGCTTTCATGTTGTAGACGCCAAATTCTGACCCTACCATCCGAATGTCGCAGCAGAAATTGAGACTCATCAGACCAGGCAACGTTTTTCCAATCTTCTATTGTCCAATTTCGATGAGCTTGTGCAAATTGTAGCCTCAGTTTCCTGTTCTTAGCTGAAAGGAGTTGCACCCGGTGTGGTCTTCTGCTGCTGTAGCCCATCTGCCTCAAAGTTCAACGTACTGTGTGTTCAGAGATGCTCTTCTGCCCACCTTGGTTGTAACGGGTGGTTATTTGAGTCACTGTTGCCCTTCTATCAGCTCGAACCAGTCTGGCCATTCTCCTCTGACCTCTGGCATCAACAAGGCATTTCCACCCACAGAACTGCCGCTCACTGGATGTTTTTTCTTTTTTGGACCATTCTCTGTAAACCCTAGAGATGGTTGTGCGTGAAAATCCCAGTAGATCAGCAGTTTCTGAAATACTCAGACCAGCTGTTCTGGCACCAACAATCATGCCACGTTCAAAGTCACTCAAATCACCTTTCTTCCCTTTACTGATGCTCGGTTTGAACTGCAGGAGATTGTCTTGACCATGTCTACATGCCTAAATGCACTGAGTTGCCGCCATGTGATTGGCTGCTTAGAAATTAAGTGTTAACGAGCAGTTGGACAGGTGTACCTAATAAAGTGGCCTGTGAGTGTAAGTTGTCCTTATAAATTCAAATATGCTGTGCTATCATTCTCCAACTACTTCCAGTCTTCTTCCTCTTTTTACAAGGCATATAGGTCCAATTGTGTGATGCGAAAAAAGCCTTTCAATTGCAGTTTTGAAAAATAGTTTTTCGAAATTACAGTGTTTCGATTCCACATATTTTTTTTTCATAATTACAATTTGTGTGATTTGATGGTTAATGGAAGCACAGCTAGTCTCTTACGGCAGCTGCTGGGACAGGAGAAGAAGGATTGAGCATCGATGGTGCTGGTGGTCCAGGGCAGTGGTGTCAAAAGTACTCACATTTGTTACTTAAGTAGTAGTATAGATATTGCAGTTTAAAAACACTCTGGTAAAAGTTGAAGTATCAACTTAACCTCATTACTCAAGTAAAAGTAAAACGTATTTGCTCCAAAAACTACTTAAAGAATAAAGTAACCTTTATTAAAACAACCAGATGCCACTATATGAATTGAAAGCTCAATTTTTCGACTATTTCGAAAAATTCTTTGAGATGGGGCCATGGATGAGGGAGGTCTTGTTGGTCTCTGTCTCCGTCTCCCGATACGCTCTGCCTGTGTCCGACCTTTCAGACATTTAAAAATCTTTTTCTAATCCGACATTGTAGCATGGCATTGACAATTCGTGTTTGCAGTTTCAAGAACACCTGCTTGCTTCTGATGATTTTGTGTTTGCGTTATATGACTCATCCAATTACACTAGTTTTCAGTAGATGTGGATTGCGCCAATGATCTGCATTGGATGGCGCACATGATGGGAAATACATTAAACATTTAATGTTTTTTAGAGAAAAACATTAAACCAGTGGTAACCAATTAAAAACCACGGGGGTCCATATAAAGAAAATCATCGAGTAAAGGTCCGGAAAATTTTTTAATGATCTGTTACTTTAAACAGAATTTAACACAGAAATACAATTAGGTATTTATGCATCCATGTTATACATTGAATTAAAAAAAATTACTTAAATTAAAATAGAAATTGCCAAAAATTGGATCCCGTGCCATCTCAGAGGAATTACACTTGTATGACTGTATTCCTGTATATCCATCAGTAGTTAGTAGTAGGGCAACAGTCAGCAAATGCAAATTCTGCCCTGTAAAACAATGAAAGACCAATTGCTGCTGTATGATCTGAAGCCTCGCTTGGAGCTTTTAAAAAGGCTTTTGAAAAACTTTGATAAATTGCTGTTGTAATATTATAGATTTTTTAGAATAAAAAGCTAGTAGATGTGCATAATTACAAAATAACAGAAATACAATTATAGAGCATTCAGTACTGTATGATAGCCCACACTCTGTTTCTGAACAAATACATTATTGTATGAGTTAAAGTCTCGGGCAAGTTCTGTTTATGCCTCTTTCCTTGTAAGTATGAAATGTCCCATACTCCTGAATGCACCATAGCTATGTGACGCTCGTGAATGCATCACACTGGTCTGAGTAGATGCGCGTAGAAGCTTTGCAGTTTCCAAACAATAAATAAATCAGCCGCACCTCGGACACAATCTTTGGATTTAATGTTGTTCATAACACCCGTACAGGGGATGCACTTTTCAGCATAACATCGGACCGCTAATCCGTGACCTCTGCATTAAACCGAAGCCAAGAGTAACGAGTAACGGTCGTCTTAAAAATGTAAGTATTAGAAATTTGTGTGAAAATGTAATGAGTAGAAGTCAGAAGTAGGAGGAAAAATAAGTAATGGAGTAAAGTACAGATACCTAAAAAGTATACTTAAGTACAGCAACAAAGTATTTGTACTTTGTTACTTGACACCTCTGGTCCAGGGGAATGTAGAATACCCTCTGCAAGATCTGGACTCAGTATATTAATATACAAGTCCAGATTTTGGGAAGATCAAACCCACCCAAGCTGCTTGTCCCACTTCCATCAGAAGAATGGTTCAGCTGCATTAAATCCAGAAAAATCAAACATTTTTCTTCCCTCCCAAACCTTTGAAGGCAGTCAACTCCTGTAGACACTCAACTGTCCAGTTCTCGATCAGTACCCTATGTAAATAAACCACGGTAGATGCTCCAATTTGCCTTCTGACATACCTCATCATTTTGTTTTTTAGCTCTCCATGCTCATTCTGAGTTGGTGAAAAAAATAAAACATTATGGATCCATAATGATAATAAAGATGTTTTATTATTAAGTTAGAAAGATATGAGAAATAACCCTGAAAGTATGAAAAAGGAGCCGAAGCGCACTGATCCAGGAAGACGATTAGGTCATTTCCAAACAAATTTCAGAAAACCATTTTAAAGTTAGAAAGAGTTAGAACTATAAAGGAAAACCTTTAACCTCTTACACCCTCAGGGGGTATAAATAAATGTCTGCCTGACAAAAACACACAAAAGTAAATCACTTATAGCCTCACAGCTATTAGATTTAAGAAGAAACTTTTGGTACCTCTGTAAAGGTAAGATGTCATAGAATGGTTTTCTGGTGTCAGCACCATTGTAGCTTTGACCCTGCCTGAAATATTAGGGACAAAATACAAAATATTTTGCATTTTTTGAACCTCGCCAAAATTTTCTTTGAAATAAACATTGCAAAACACTACCAAAATATTATTTATAGCACAAAAAAGTAGTACAGACTTTTAAATCTAAATGTTGTGTAAAAATATACCAAATTTGGACTCAATCAGATGAATCATATTTATTTTAGAATGGTATTAGTGAGAAATTTCTTAGGCGGAGGGGCTATTTTGGCACATTTATCCAAAAATGTCACCAAACTGTGCCAAATGTGTTTTTTACATCAATACTGGGGGTTTGTTAAAATTACGAGGTCATGTAGCAGCTGGACCCACCGGTGGGTCCGTAGGGTTCTAGGGGTTAAAGGACAGATGTGTGTTTCACTGGGAGGGATGTCGTATAACCTTGTCTTTAAGCTCACAATAGGGAGAACCCATCTTCTCCTGCCTCAACTGTTGGAGAACCGATCAGAATTCAGTTGGCCAATCGTTATGGCACTAAGTAGGGCTGGGCCATTAATCGATGTTATTGATTAATCAAAATGTTTTTGTTTTTTTTCCAATTCAATTCTGGAAACACCTGAATTTTCAGACTGACATCAGATTATTAGTTTTTCTTCTTAGATATATATTCATAACTAATAAACTAGCTCTCTGTGTGATCATACCGCTAGCTGCAAATGTTTAGTGTGACATATTTTAAGTACAAGTCATTTTTACTAAAGGTGAAGTTCTGGCCCTGATGGTGTTGGAGGACAATTGACTGATGGGTTGGATGGTGAGATTTGTCTGTAATTTTAAGAAAAAAAATGAATGAAAAATGAAAATAGTCTGACTGATTCATGTATGCTGAGTCCTTATGATTGTTATATGATATGCTTTTTACAAACAAATATTTTTTTCTATGTAGGCACAAAAATAAGTAATTAATTGAAATAAAACAAAAACCCAGAAGCTCTTTGGATTTAGTAACTCACACTCATCATTGGAGGGATCAAAGGTTCTCCAGGTCTTAAAATTAAGTGTAAAGCAGTTTAAAAAATGACCAAAATTAAATATAAACCTAATATATGGAAAACCTAAGTACAGCCCATAATGTTTCTCCTGAAAACCTTTTTTTTGGTTTGCCTCTTGCATTACACTTACAGGAAAACCCTCCAGTAACTTTGAGTCATCTGTCTTCAGGAAGATTACGAAAGCTCCAAAGTTCTTTGGATATATATATATACTTCAATTTCTTAAATCTAGTTATCCATGCCAGACATAGAATTGAAATTGAAGAATTGAGAAGAATTAAAAAAGAAGTGAAATTGACCCATAAATGTATTTGGATGTGGCTTGAAATGTTTGTGGACTCACCAGCGCATGGTCAAAGCTGAAGGTGCTGATGTAGTAGGCAGAAATGTCCCCATCTGCAAGGGGCTGAGATATCTGGGCGACTATGCCACATTCATCTGAAATACAGGAAATGGTATCGATGTCAAAGTTGAAGAAGAAGAACTTTACACGTAGCAATGAAATACGGACTAGAAAGTCTTCATGAAGAAGAGGTCAGTGCAATGCAGAGAACTGCCAGTGGTAGTTGTTGATACAGGTAATATGGTTCAACACCCAAGGGTCAATTTCAAAAAGCAGGGTTACTGAAAATTCAAAGCTTTTTATATCCAAAATCAGGAAAAATCAGAGTTTTTTTAGCCCACAAAAATAGTTTACTCAATGTCTGTTGCCATGGTGACATCCTGCCCCAGAGCTAACCTGGTAGGGAGCCGGTTTTGTTCAGTTAACTAGTGTCCCCTATCTCCTCCCTCCTTAGAGCTACGCCAGTTGTTTCATTTCCTGATTTAGTCAGGTGATTTCTATCGTCGTTTTGTGCAAACAAAAAAATAAATAAATCACTCAGTATGTCAGACACATTAGGTTTTAAAAACGAACATTACGTGTCCTTTAGATGAGAATTTGATTAAAGAATCATCGGCATTAATGCGCAGAGAATTAAATATTTATAGGGAGAGAATTCTACAACTCAGTTGAAAGGATATGAGATTTATTTGTTTGTGGGTTATTTAATATGAACCACATGTGGATAATTAATTTTTTTACAGTACATGAAGAACTAATGAAATAATTTTCAGATTATAGTTTAATAGATTTATTAGTTACACAAGGAAAAAAATTATTACTTTAGGGTTAGGATCGGGATTCATTCAGTGATACTAATCAATTGAGCCTAATGGTAGGTAGGAGGCACAATCTGAAGCCATTCTATGGCTATGTCTGAGTATTTGCCCTTATCATTTCTTTTTGACTATTAAGCTAATGTAACGTGAGATCAATGAAGTCAATCAATCACTATACAGGGCACTACAGTTGAGTGTCTGAACATCTAGTAGATCAAAAAGTAGAGGAAAGCTCTGTAAAGCTCTTTTAGTATGTATTTCAAGGGTGAAATATAAGTAAGTCTGAGCTCAGTGAAATAAATTAAATAATTATTGGCCCATTATTGACCCAGGGGAGGCAAAAGTTAAACTACTGAACTCTTAATATTCTCGCATATGATAAAGTCATATAATCTGATCAAGTCATGTTTTAATCTGGGTTATCATTAATATATAATAAAGGTTTTTGTCTAGCTCTTATTTTTGAAACTTTAAGGTTGGACCAAATTTGTCCACATTATGAATACTTACAGTATACATTGACTTATCCATTTGCACTTAATAAAAAAAAGAGAGATTCAATGTGGAAAAAAAAAATGTAGAACTGTAAATTTACAGTCATTTTTACTATTTTTCAAGGCTGCACTTTTAAAAAGATGAAATTGTCCAGTGAGCTGTTTCCAAATGAAATTTCTAGATTTTTATTAAGGAAGACTACAACGCAGTTTCTATCTGCAATACATCCAAATACATTAAACTAGAGATTAACATGGTCTTATAGGAATTTATTTTTAAATCTCTGACTCTGTTTAATAGTATTAAATATGCTGGTACGGTAATCAATATTAGCTTTAAAAAAAAAAAAAAAGGTATTTTAAGGCAAGTTTTCTCACCAAAACCCAGCGGTTGTCCACCTATACGAACCATCCTCCACAGTTCTCCTGAGGAGCTGGTGAACAGAAGATCAGCAGGAAATCTAAAAATAAAAAAACATTTTACCAAACAGAAAAAAACAAGCACACTGCATCTAACTGTATCAGTTTAATTTAGAATAAGACATCTAAATAATTTCCGGTTTACTGCAGAGTGCTGCCCTTAATGTTGATCTAAACATGGCAATAATCTGGGCGGCTGAGGCCCAGATTATTGCCATTGTCCCATTTACAAAGAAATGCTTACCGTCTCTGAGCCTCAGTGTCCATCACCAGTGAGATATATCCCTCAATAAGCGAGAATGAGAAGAACTTAATGCAGTCCAAGTCCTGATCTGCTGACGAGCCGCTGTCCTCTTTTGGACTAAAGACAAAGATACATTCAGCAGAGAAGCTTTGATTCAGACGCCCCTGTGTCTTCATATATTGATTCATAGCACTGAGCAAGATATAACTGATGCATCAATTGTTATGATTTTTAGCTTTTAATAAATACATTTTTTTTTTATTAAGTACCTTAGGAAAAAGAAAAAGTATTTAAAAAGAATATTTTTTACAATTTAAACCAAATAAGGAATTCAGTTTGACATTGATTATTATTTAAAATAATAAAGTGCTTATTTTAAAGTGGATGGCAAAAATAACTGCAGACTTCCAGTTTAAAGGTTTGACCAGTTCACTTTGTGTAATCTGAGCGAATAAATAAATGAGATTGTGTGCTGCCATCTTGTGCTCCAGAGGAGCATTACAGGCTCACCTATTGGAATAAAAGAGGACATCAATGAGCAAGGTTGCGATGGAGGGCAGTGTTTCCGGGTCCAGAGACATGACACAGAACTGGTTCTGAGGGATCAGCACCGGGTGAACTGTAGGTTGGATGGCTGGAGGAAGAAAACACAACAATGTGTTAACGTTTGAATTAAGAAACAAAAGTTGGGATTATCTGTTTAAGATTCCATTTGATCCCAAGAAAAGTACTTTTCTTGTTTTTTAACACAAGAATCACATTGAAAACAGGAATTTAAAAAAGACAAATAGGACACCTTAATAAAAAACTCAATTTCAACAAAAAATTCAGTCAGTACTTTTTTACTTATTTCTAAAGATGTCAACATTTCCATCATTCTCAAAACAAATTCAAGAGTTTGGTGCAATTTCCCTCAACATCAAATATTAGCTTAATCCTACATTTTACTAAACTATTTAGAAAAGCACAAATATTAAAGGTTGGGTCAGAAAAACGGGATGTAAAATCTACATATATGGACCAAAACCTTAAAAAAGGCAGATATTTAATGATTAATGAATGTATGATTAATGAATACAGAAGAAAAAAAATTTGTTTTCAAGCATTTGAATCAAAAGTGAGAAATCTGGTTATCTATGTGAAGGAGGAGCTGGGAGACGAATGCAGCAAACTCTAATTATGCTTTGTCAAATATGTTGTTTTTGTTTTAATTAGATTAGAATGCATGTTTTTCTTATCAGGAAAGATTAATCCAAATAAATGGTTTCCATTATTTTCAAATGAAATTTAAACTTTACTTCACCTAAAAACAGGATTTCTAAGCACTGGACAATAATCCTATATTGCTTAGAAGTGTGCAAACCAGCTTTAATGTTTATTTCTGAACCAATTGGAAGTACTAATAATAGCACTGGAATGTTAGCTTCGTGAGACCATCCTGATCTCGCGAGCTTTCAAGATTTCACTCGCTAATCAGTCTGGAGACTCTCCGTTGAAGAAAATTTGGAGCCGTTCACCAAACGAACGTCCAATCAACGTTTGAGGCGGGTTGTGGTGTGACGCAACGAGAAGCGCGACAGTTCAGTCTAAAGAACATGGCGGCTTCAGCCGATGAAACTAGTGGCTATCGAGAAAGTTTTATCGGAATTACAGAGTATTTCTTCACTGAAAGAAGACCAAAACACTGCTCAGGAGGCTTTACTCAGAGGAAAAGATGTTTTTGCTCTTCTCCCGACTGGTTTCTGCAAGAGTTTGATCTATCGATATGCTCCTCTTCGTCGTCGCTCTGTTACGTCATATGCTTCGTTGATTTGATTGGTTTATTTGGCCCGTCTATCACCAACATAGGCCAATCAGCTAACCAGTATTTTTGCCCCTTCCCAAAATTACTTCAACGGAAGGTTTCCAGATGGATATGCAGAGCAAATCCATCTGGCGGAGTCAGGTTACTGGAATGTATCTTTCATTATCAGAAAGGTTAAACAGCTGAAAGTTAAGAATTTATGCTGAAACCTTCTTTGCCGTTCTTTTGGAGGTCGTTGGTAAAGTCCTGGCATCCCACAGGCAGGTACTCTCCTCCCACCTCCCTGAAGATGTTGAACTCCTCCTCTAGAGTGCTGATGACAACCGACAGGTCTTTCTCTCTTACCTGCATATCAGGAACATCCAGAAATATCACAAATACACTTTTAAAACTGTTATATACAGCAGCTCCTTAAAAGTCTGCATATCCCTTTAAAATTGTTTTTGAGTTTTTGTGATGTAAAAAAATGAAACAATGACAAATTAAAATACTTTTTCTACAGATATTTTAACCTTTTTCTGCAGAATTGAGAATCAAACTGTGTTAAAAGAAGAAATTTAAAATGGAAAAAGCATATTTTATTGTTTTTCAATAGTGTTTCATGACTAATATCTGATATATTGAACCTGATTAACCTCAAATCAGCTTTCTGTCTTTTCACCTGAGTCCTGTTTGCAGAGGTTACCAATGATCCTAGTTATGAAGGCCAGGCAGAAAATAGTCAAGGATGCTGCTAAGAGCCCAGCAACATGGAAAAAGGCTGGTTGTGACCTAAGTGACATCTATGACCTCAGTTCTCTGGAAGTCAAAGCATTTTCTTCCAAATACATCATACGGAAAAGGTAAAAATCTAAAGACATAAGATCTTGTCTCATCAGATTTAATAAAGACTTTCAAAGATATGTCAGCCACAAAAACAGCACTAATTATCTAAATATGAACACTGTGCCCACAATGAAAAATCCTGGTGTGAGCATCGTGCAACAGCATCCCCTTTCTTTAGACTAAATACGTTTAATTTTTAACACATAGTAGATGAAATCGTATATGCCTCCAAACATTAGCCAGATTTGAAACCCTACCTTTTAGCTCTCTGCTAGGAAGCTCAGAAATTTAAATATTCATTTTCTTTTTAGCATCGCTGCAAGTTCAAGCATGATTTTAAACCTTAATGATTCTAAATATAAACTGACAACTTTAAAAGATGAAGTTGGCAAGAAGAGGAAAATATTGAATACCCACCAAAGAAGACTGAGTAATGAAATTAAATAAAGAGGTAATTTAATGTTTTGGTTTACAGGTGTCCATAATGATTCAAATATAGCTTTCAAACCTTCCAGGGATAAATGTCTCATCATCTGTTCTGGTCTCAGTTTTGACATCTCTAAAAAGATGTAAGTTGCCAAAGATGAGGAGTATATGCTTCTGCAAGCCAATGTAGCCTATATGTATAAAGGCATCTACCAGCTGTGTTTTACTTTCATGCATGAACCTGGATGTTTTAAAGCATTAGAAGGCCTTAGTGAATCAGTTCAAACAGCAAGTCAATCATTAACACTATTGCTGAAACAGTGGTTTTCCTTGTTGCTAAATATCTTTTGCTCATTTACTTTTTGAATGTAATAGATGAACCAATTTTCTGATGCTGTCAGCTTTGTCAGAAATGACTCTATTAAGTCAAAACACTTGTCGAAGGAGAAAATATAAACACGGTTGCATGTTTTGTCCGATGGGGAGCAGGAAGTGTGCACAACTGTGCCTCAGTGGGAGAAGTTGTCTTGTGGTGGAAGTTGTAGCTTTCATTCCAGTTTCCTGGTGTTCCCAGTATGAATGCAGCTGTATGACTAGAAATAAGTTTTAAAAAAATCCAGCCCATCCGCCAATTCAGTAAGCGGCTTCTGTAATGTTTATTCTGACAGGACGTCCTAGAGCCAACCGATATAAAGTGGAGGAGATGGTAGTAAAGTAAAAGTGAACTATCTGAGCAAGAAGAAGATGTGTGCTCACCAGGATGAAGTCAGTCTGATATGTGGAGAGCATGAAGACGGAGACGTGCTGCTGGGCTAGCGGGGCGATGACCGACTTGGCGATCTTGGTCACGCCGACAGCCTGTGAGCTGCTGTAGGCGTTGCCATTAGATGCAACATTTAGGGACAGCCAAATGGAGCTCTCGACCTGGAGGTGCTCTGAGGGCGGCAGCTCTGTTAAACATAAAGGAAAGGAACGGTGCTCCAACTGAAACCACAAATAACTCTGCTCATGACTTTCCACATGATCAGATTTAAGATTATATACTAAAACAAAAGGTTTTTGATCATATATGTAATGTTATGTCATATATCATATGTTAAGAGTTTAAAAAAATCCCTGTATTAAATAATAAGTGCATTGCACAAACGCCTGACTGCTGCGTTCTTTTATATGTCCAACAGGGGGAAATTGATTGGGTTGCATAAAGAGGACGGCCTATACCACCTGGTTCAGCTTTTACTTATCAAGGCAGGATGTCCACTTTGTGAAATGCTGTTTTATTTAGATGAATCATTTTGATTTACTCTATTAAACAGCCAATCAGGGCAACATTTTTTTGCCTAAAGCTCTTCTCTTATTTAACTTGAGAAATTGCAACACAGCCTCATGAAATGGGCATTCGTGAGTTAAATGTACAACTAGGCTAGACTGTGCAACTGGACATTTATACAATGGAAGTTTCAAAAATGTGTTGCACTGAATCATCACCTGCAGTCACAACTCCTCCCGATATCTTTTCCTGTGTCCGTTTCCCGTCTAAAACTGTAAATAAAGCCACTTGCACAACCAGAAATCAAAGAAAACAGGGAAGCGGCCTCCAGCATGGAATCTAGAGCTACATTATTTATCTCTTAGGTTGTTAAATAATCAGGCAGCTTAAAGTTTCTGTCCCTTCCAGACATGTTGGGAGCTACATCTTCTCCACCTGCCATTTTGGCCTTTAGTGCAGCAGGACCTCAATGACCCCCAGGGCAGAAGGCTAAAGGACCCCTCTATTTATATCACTGAACCAGCACAAGTAAATATAATGCAAAGGAGAGGTCATAGTGCAAAAGAAACCAATAAGGTTGCAACTTGGGAGCCGAAAGCAGTTCATAGACTTTTTTTATTATATTATAAAAGAGGATTTTTTTTGGAGAAACCTTCCTGACTTTCTGGAGCAGGATAACTATAATCAATACATCTAATTATGCAGAAAAAAACAAAAAAAAATTAGAAAAGGAAAAAGATCAGGGCAACGCCAGACAGAAATGTAATAACAAAAATGAAATTGTAAAATAAAAACACCTCAACATAATTAGTAGAATGCTAAATAAGAAAAAATACATATATTCTGTATTTTGTAATTGAAGGAAAAAGGATTGTCTTTTCTGTTTTCTGTTCTGTACTTTATTTTATAGCTGACTAGAGAATTATCTTTTAAAACAACCATTCAGAGTAAATAGCTACTGCTGGTTTGGGTCAGCCAGAAATCCAGACCAAACTGCCTCTGACTTTAAATGCTCCTTTTTCTTTTCTCCCCTTCAAAGAGCCTCTGCTCTAGTTGGCATAATTTGTCACAGACATCCCCTGGTGGCTCCTTAATACACCAACTCTTAGCTCCTAAAATAGGCTCTCAGAACAAGAAAACCCCAAAGGCAATATGCGTCTTCAACATCTACATGTGTGTAAAAGGATGAGGCCATAACTAAGATTTAGCAACTGTCTAAACAAAACATCCAGCTGTCGATCACATTTCCAAAGAAATGCTGAGTATTCAAAGGGTAAAACATAATTAAAAAAAAAAAAGTGAATGGAGCTTCTCTTCAGTGTACCATGAGAAATCTGGTGATGGTAAAAAAAGAGGCAGTAATAAAAAGTGTTAACTCATTGCTTCTATTCTCTTTTACTGGTAGTTTTCACTCCCATCAAACTTTTAGAGGGATATCAAGAAAACAAAAATGGTAGCTCTCTCATTGATTTTCCAGAAGAAAAAAAAAATCACTACAAGAACAGTGGGAAGGTTAAAACAAACATGATTCTTCTTAAATATAAACAACTGTAAAATATAAATCTCTGTATTGTACAATTAAATCATCTTATTCTAAGTAGTGTTTTTTGGCCCCAATACCGATACCCGATACCTGGCTGTGAAGTATCGGCCGATACTGATACCATGCCGATACCATCTGTTTTAAAAAAGGAAAAGGACTAATACAAAACGAATCCAGTAGAACCTTTTATTGCCTACTTGGAATGGGTGACAGAAGTTGGATAAACGTTTGGCTCTCAAAATGGTATCTGTGCCCTATTTGTTGGAACTCGCCGATACCGATACCACCAATTTAGCGCTGTATCAGGGCCCCGTCCAAAACTGGTATCGGTATCGATGCAACACTAATTCTGAGAAACAAAACAAAAATACTCCTTCCATGCAAAAGGATAAAAAAACGAAACATTTTCTAACACAATTTTCATGATGAGACATTTACGTGTTATCAAAATAACAAAGAATGGCTTTACATGTAAAATCTCACTAAATTTTTGATAACTTCAAGATAAAAACCAGAGAAATAAAAAGCATAAAGACAGTCTTCCAAAATACTGACCTCACTTTTTTTCATAAGTATTCTTCTTTACTCATCAAATAAAGGAGGAACATTGAAAACTTGGATTTTTTTTTCCATTTTCACCCTAATTGTTTTTTTTTTGAAGGGACACAAATTGCAAAGTATGAAGAGGTATGAAGTCTATAGAAATTACTTTAGGAGGGAAAAAACATTTAAACGCTATATGATTTATAAATACTAAAAGTTTGAACAGCAAATAGATCACATTTATGTCACAACAGTTTTCAAAGCAGCTAGGTTATTTCACAATAAAAAACATTATAGAAAACATATATAGGTAACATTTGGATTTTAAGTGTAGGAGAGGTGAAGGAGTTTTTTTTTATATTTTACAAAAGAAAATATATAAAAGAAAAAGTTTTGATAAAAGCAATCTATATTCATGGAAATATATTGAGTGGATATTTGGTTGTTTATTGAGTAGGAAGTCAACCAGCAGACCACTGAGCTACGACCTCAGGCTTTGTTTGAGAGGGTAAGGTTAATCAGTTCAAAAGAAGTGCTTTTTTTTCCTCTTTCCTAAAAATATTTGGTAAGTTCCATGTCAGCACAAAGGGAACAGCTGTCTATAAATGATTCACCTGCGTACAGTAAAAGCCATTCACAATTTTCCCACTTTCCTTGATGGGCCCTTGGATTGTCCCCTACAATTCATTGTTAAACATCAATCTTTGTATTATAATATTCTTTCTGTCATGATTTGTAGACAATAAGATCTAAAGAGAAGCGTCATCTCCTGGTCAGACCCTGTAATTCAGTGAAAGGATGGAGCACCCAGGAGAAAGCCAGTAGCTAAAGGTTGGAAGGGATTTTGTTGGGCGTTTGACTGGGAAGGGCCATTTTGAATGTCTGCTACTGTAATTAGTCACAACATATTCAGCTACAGATTCAGACTTTATTCTTCTCCTGAGTCATAAGAATAATCTGAGTTTAACAGCAGCTCCAGTTTGATTTTGTTTGTCCTCTCCATCTTCCATTCACATTTTTAATATTTTATTCTTTTAATGACATTTTAACAACATGCAGGAACTCCAACTGTGGATGGACTTACATTGACTGACCTTCCCTTATAGCATTTAATTTTTAGGGAAAAACGTTTATATCGAAGTGTATAGGAAAGAACTTGAACCCCAGTCGGCCTCGGCAGATGGCCGCTCACACTGAGCCTGGTTCTGCTGGAGGTTTCTTCCTGTTAAAAGGGAGTTTTTCCTTTCCACTGTCACTACAAGCATGCTTAGTGTGAGGGATTGTATTTGAGTCAATGAGTCGATGCAATCAACTGCTTTTCTTTAGATAGAAAACTTTGAATCAATTTGACTGAATGATCTGGTTGAACTGTAAAGTGCCTTGAGATGACTTGTGTTGTGAATTGGCGCTATATAAATAAACTGAATTGAATTGATTGACTGGTTAGTTAGGTCTTCTCTGTTACCATGGAAAGGTCACCATCAAAACTTCACTGCTGGAGATTTTGGTGTCGTTACTTTTGTACAGGATTGTCATCTATCCTAGAATGTCAAGTTATCAGCTGCCTTGTCATTGATTTTTTTTTTTTATTCCACCCTTTTTCTTTATATTGCTCTATTTCAGTCATTAAATTCACAGAAATATTGTGAACTATAAAATCAACAGCGGAGGGTTGTAAAAATGATGCCTTTAGGTGTATATGTGTGTCATTTTACCTTTAAATCCTTCTTCATCAAGGACAACGGTGTAGTTTTCAGGCGTTTCTGTCAGGCTGAAAAACTTACAACTAGAAAGAAAAGAGAAAAAAAAACAGGATAATTAAAAACCTATTGTGAAAAGAAAACTATTGTGTATTCGCAATGAAGTAAACAGGATTGAGTTTATTTTTAACCCACTAATCAAATAAATTCCTGCTTTAGGAAGTAAAAATCCCAATTAACTTTGTAATCAGCCAAAATAGACTTAGAACTACTATTTTTGGTCACAAATCACATGAAGCAATAGCAACCTAAATCCTGCTAAAGCAGTTTTATGACTCTGGTAATAATACACAGATATAAATGATATAGCTTGTACATGGGTGAAGGATGTTTGTAATGAATTGGTGCTATCTATAAATACACTAGGGTTGCAACTAATGAGTGCTTTGCAAATCGATTAATCTGTCAATGATTTTTTCGATTAATCGACTAATAATCAGATTGCAAAAGGTTCCCTAAAGAAGATTTTTTTGCAAAATTAAACCAGGTGAAACTCAAACCTTTCCACTAGAGGATTTCTGGATAGAGCATATTGACAGATGGAAACATAATATAATATAATATAATATAACATTATATAATATAACAACATAATATAACATAATTTTTTTTTTTTACCTTAAAGCTACAGTGTGTAATTTTTAGCGACATCTAACGTCCAGACTGAAGACCGCAGCAACATGAACATCTCCCCCCTACCGCTTCTCCCCCCAACAGTACGGCGAGCGTACAAAATGTCTTCCACGACGTCCGCATCACCTACCGTCTCAAATGATGAGGTTTGTTTACATAGATAATTTTACAGATAGTATTTCATTAGTCTGTGTAGGGTATAGATTTCAGTTCATCTCTCTCAACTTGCCGTAGTTACTTTCGAGCGTAATGGGCGATCTCACAATCGCTAGTTTATTGGCTCTGCGCTGCCGTAGCGCAAAGATGTCTGCCTCCATGGTTGCGAGACCCGCTCCTATGTAATTATAAATAACGAATTCTAAGGCAACGCAAATATTAAGGTTAAGAGGCTGAGCTCGTAGATGATGATAAATAACATAGTTATGTATAATATATTACATTTCTGACTGTATATCCCTGTAATTATTACACACTGTAGCTTTAAAGGCTAAAGGTTTATATATTTTGGCCACAATCTCTGTATAATTGCTGTTCTAGGTGGGTTGCTCTGTTAGCTAAACGCTTGTTTTAAGGTCTCCATACTCCTGTTATGATTATTACAATAATCGCGATTAATCTGATTCATTGTTTCACCCCTTAAATATAATGTTTTGAATTAAAATAAAAATCTATATAAAAGTGCCAAAATTAGAAGCACATAGTATTATCTTTTAAAAGTAAGCAGAATGTAAATAAGGTTGAAAATTTGTTCTGCAGAGTTAGTAGAAGATATAATCAAGCAGAATAGATGCTAATAGCAAGGAATCATAATAAATACAAAGTAAAATCATATTATAAACCTGTATTTATAAAATGGGAGCTCCTCTGAGTAACTCCCTTATAAATACATTTAAACTTGAGGAATTGGGAAATTAATACTGAACAAAATTGTTTTTTAGGCTGACTTAATTAGTTTTTCTATGTTTTAATCAAGACACCTGAGCTGCTTTGATGAGCCCTGATAGCTCAGTGTGAAAAACAGCGGATACCAGGCTGTTCTCTACATCCAGTCTGTTCCTCTGCTTGGTTTGGATGTTTGTCAAAACTGAAGGTGAACTCAAACATATAAGAAAAAGTTTTTTTTTTTTTGGTTGATAAAAGCTTGCTTAAGTTTCCAATTCAATTTCTGGTCCCCACAAAGCAGAACAGATCCCAGCCCTATTTTATTTTACTACCTAAAAAATAAAATATTTTCATGTATACCTCGCAATGCACTCGTGGACCACTAGGGGTACCGGTTAGGAATCACAGTGCTAAATCGCTGATCACAAAGACACCACAGGATACAGCAGCTTCTTGTGGAGCACTCAGCCCACAAATATAAACCCTTTTTAAGAGGAAATTTTAAGCCTAAATGTTTCTTAGTTATGTAATGGCTGTGACCTCGGCCTTACTAAGAATTTTTAGGGCTTTTCAAGGGTTTGGTTACCAAATCTATGTCTGCACCTAATAAGTAGCTATGCCTATTTGAACCTCAATGTCTTCTCAAAAGCATCTCCTAAAATTTTTTGAGAAAAATCCCCCAAACTACTAGTTCTTTAGAGCAAAGTGAGATCCAAGATACCACTCTTACCTGCAGTACTCAAAAAATACATGTACTTGTCCAGCTTTGTTTGTTCCCTTTGGTTAATTTTGTAATTATTGCTTTGATTTTGAATAAATCCAAGTTTAGATAGTCAGTTATCCAACAGTAAAATTTTAATGACATATAAAAAAAAACCATAAACGATCTTGAGTTTAATAAATTACAACAATAAACATTAACATCTTTATACCTTCCTTCTCAGCATATCAGTCTGCAAGAGACATTAGAGCAGAGGCATGGACGCAATGACAAAACTCCTGACTCAGCAAAGAGCAATCCCTGCCATGGGATTAGACAATGACACCACTGAGAGACAAAGAGGGAAAGACGGAGAGAAAACACCGTAACAGTAACTGCCAGCTGTGTTAGCAGCCTCCGCCAGCCCATTGTGTTGAAAAGCCCTTCTCGTTTCCTGCTGAATCTTCACCTTCCGCAGCTCGCAGTTTCCTGCAGGTGCCACGACCCTGCATGAGCGAGTGAGGCAAGTGAGTTAAAGCAATATCTCAGCTCTCTGTTGTGAAGTCATGTTTAAGAACCACATCAGTGAAACGACTGCGTATTTGGTTTCCTGTTTGCAAAGTACAGATTAGACAGATAAGAGAGGCATTAGCTCAGTGCTGACTACTTGAAAGGAAAACAGCAAAACAAAGTACTTAACATCACTTTCATAGCCTGATATACTATCCATGTATTTACAAACAGGTCTTTGAATTTTTCCTCAAACTAATATCTATCTAGACTAGATCAGACATGGCTCTTGGTAGTCTTCCCTGCTTTGCTCAACCTACAGGTTTTCTTTATAATTCAGGCCTGGGTCTCAAGTGAAGTGTCTACACGACTTTTGTTTCTTAGAGTCTTAGTTCTTTTTAATATGCCTTTATTATACTGCTCACAGCAGATATTGGCCAAATAAATACCCGTATTTTCCAGACTATAAGCCCCTACTATTTTCCCATGATTTGAACCATGCGGCTTATGCAAAGGTGCTGCTTTTCTGCATATTTTTCTTATCCTCCAGTGAACGGATAGCCTCACAGTAGCCAGATTGATAAGTATATAACTGAGTTGAGTTCAACGTTATCAATCTGTGATGGCTGCCGTTCAGTCTGTCCATGAAAAGGAGCGACATTTAGTACAATAATATGAGCTTATTGGGCGACATGCCAGAGAGTACTTGCCTTCCATAATATGTTTTTAGCCAATCATAGCAGCGAATCATAATGTTTTAGACTTATTAGCTTCGGCGACTCAGTCATCCATGAAAGTGATCAACGGAGACACGATGACCATAATGGGATTTGTCTGCAGCTTCTTGATTTTCACAACTACCAGAGTAAGCTGATAAATCAAACGTTTTTCATATCCTGTCAGATGAAAAGCTCAGACATTTTTCCTATCTACAAATGCACAGTACCTCTCTTTGCTCCTTTTTTAAACAAGAAATTGACGCTATTTTAGCTAAAACCAAGTCAACTGTGGTATCAACAGACGTGTCCTTCAGGGTAGCCATGTTTGTCATGCAACGCCCCTATGAGTGCCATCATGTCCCGTGCCAAAAAACACTGCTGGCATGTCATTGGCCTGACTTGCTGGTTGTTACGAGATGGAGGTCTTTTAAGATGGATTTTTTGTGAGACTGAAAACTCAGATCTCGCGACAATCCAGCTTGCAGCGCAAAGTTAAAAGATGCAAGTCAGAGTTGGAAATCAAACATGAAGGGGCTAATGTTCATTTACACAAGCCAACGGTAGCAGCAGGCATGACGGAGAATTAGTGTTCCAATATCACACATTTTGACATTTATTTGTCACATTAATGCTGTGAAACAAATGAAGAGACGGCGCAACACCTGCAGACATGAAATAAAGAGCTAAGAAGCCCCATCTTTCAATAGAAGCTCGTACTGTGATGAGCCAACACGCTAACAGGAGCTAGTATTCTTCTTCATCCCTATTCTAGGAGCGGCATATCAAGTTCCCCCTACAGGTTGGTGGGAGACAGTTCAGTATATATCAGCGGTTTATAGCACGGTGAAGCTTATACAAGTGCAGAAAAAAAAAACTTTGTGCAGCTTACAATGAGGTGCAATCTGTAGTCCAGATAATAATGTATGGGCTGTTGTCCAATAGTTGAGAAAAAGCTGCTTTTCTTTCAGAATGTGTTTTTTTTTACCCTCACAAGCAAAACAAGGTATCCTAAAAAGTTAATCTCCAGATGATCTTAATTTGCTCTTCTACTCAATTATGCTACTCTTAAAGGGGAACGCCGTTTTTTTTTACATTGAGCCCTTGATTTTACGTTGTTACACCATGTTCTACTCAACTATATAAGTTTTGTGTCATTTGGAGCTGATCTGAAGATATTCCATTAGGTTATATCCAAGTAACGTCTTCCTATGGGAAACGACTTGCAGGCACAAACTAAACTGTTCATAATTTATTCTTTATAAATTACGCCAGCATTCATAACATGTAGGCAAATCACTGTCCCCCAGACATCTGCGGTTATATTTTTTATATCTATTATTTTTTTTAAAACAAAGCGGCGCGTGTATGCAGCACCCGCTCATGCCGGCTACCATTCATTCATCCTGTCCGCTGAACTGCTGCTAGTTTTACTCACCTAACGGAATATCTTTAGAACAGCTCCAAATGACACAAAACTCAAATGGGTGAGTAGAACATGATGTAATAACGGAAAATCAAGAGCCCAATGTAAAAAAAAAAACAGCGTTCCCCTTTAAGTCACCTCCTTTACTCCAGCTTTTGG